TAATTAATAACTTTGGATTTTGTTGTTATTGCTGTTGCTGTTGCTGTTGCTTTTTTAATGAATGGAGGATTTTTTTTTTTTTTTTTTTTTTTTTGAAATGCCTTAATTCTTTGGAAAACAACAACAACAACAACAGGTAAAGTAAAATTAATTAAATAAATAAAAATAAAAATAAAACTTTACGTCATTTATCATATAATAATAATAATAATAATAATATAAATTTTTGAAAAATAAATAAATAAATAAATAAAAAATGACATCAACAAGAAACCAAATTTTTTAAAGTTTTTTCTTCTTTATTTGGAGAAAGAAATAGCAAAATAGGGTCATAACTTGTGGGTGTTTAAACTTTTTTTTTTATTTATTTTTTTTATTTTTTATTTTTTTGTTCTCAAGCTCAAATTCCCCTCTCTCTCTCTCTCTCTCTCTCTTTAAGCCCACAATTTTTTTTTTTTTTTTGTTTCTTAATCATTTTTCTTATACTACACACACACACACACACAAAATTATTATTTTTATTATTATTTTGACTTTAAAAAAATTTTTAAATTTTATTTTATTTATATTAGATTTCTATTTTATTTTTGAATCGTTAAAACAAAACCGATATAACTGTTTAACTTCAACGGCCCTGAAGAATTATTATGTTTAAAATGAACTTTAAATATGTGAATATATATATATATATATATAAAGAAACATAACAACAATTTGAATATATATAAAAAAAATGTCTTCAATTTTACTTTACTTTACTTTACTTTAATTTTTTTTTTTTTTTTGTCATTCACTTATATAATCTTGGTTTACATTTTACTATGTAGACTTATATAAATCAAATAAAGAGAAAACAAAAAAAAAAGAAAGAAGGGGGATGAAGGGGGGGGAGAGAGAAACAAAAACTTGCTCATTTTTTTTTAAAAAAAAATAATAAATAAATAAAAAATGGAAGAATTAATATGTAAGAAATCTTTTGTGATTATGATTATGATTATGATAATGCATAATATAACTTAATGTTGCTATTTTAACTAATAACTACTGAGATTTTTTTTTTTTCATTTATTTATTTATTTAGGTCTTGCTCTCAAATGTTAATAATGTCTGGCAAACTTATCATCTATATCTCTCTCTTTCTCTTTCTCTCTATATATATATATATATATATATACTAGTTAGTACCAAATACCTTTGTCCAATATATGACGCTTAAAATGCACGTCTGAGATATTCATTGGTGACATTTGAACTTCTTTATAATTACTCTCCTTTACTTTTTCTCTTTTTGTTTGTTTGTTTGTTTGTTTGAAATTGATAATAAATTGATCATAATTTAAGTCAACTTATATAAATTATTATTTATTCTCAGCTTTAAATAAATATATATGCCAAGATTCTTCATTTTGATTGGATTTTTTATTAATTTATTTTTTTATTTATTTTTTTTGTAAATTTGAAAATCCTTTAAATCCTTTTAAATCATTTATATAGTTTATATTAAACTCAATTCCTCAAATAAAACATGTCCTCCCTCCCTCTCCCAAAAAAAAAAAATAAATAAATAAAATAAAAAATAATTAGATATATCAATGAAATGAAATTCCCAATTAACCTAAATTGTATCCAGATTTGTCCCTTATATATGTATAACATTGTTATCTAAATATTCCTAATTAGTCCAAAGTTAATATTGATGGATATGGGTTTATACGGATAAAATGATATCTCTCATAACCAGCTTTTTGGAGATAAAAAAAAAAAAAATTTTATTTCCCTAATGGCAATTCACCGAGAGAATCTTTTTATTTATTTATTTATTTATTTTTTTCTTTTCACTTTTATTATATAGATTTCTAATTTTTTTAAAAATCTTTGAGAGTGTAATTAACTTTTATATTCAATATTTTTTTTTTTTTTTTTTTTGTGGCGGTGAACTATTTACTACATTGGTTACTTTTTTTTTTTTTTTATTTTTGTTTAATAAAAAAAAAAATAAAAATTTGTGCCTAAGACTTTAGTGCTTTAACCATTTCAATCATATGACTGAATATATATATAAGGACCTAAGAATCTTCTAAAGACTGGGCTCATGTCATTGAATCATCAAGTGATTAAGACTAATAATAGTAATAATGGTAATAATATTTGGATTCAACTTAAGAATATACCAACTACTTGGCAGTGGATGAAAAGAAATGAAAATAAATAAATAAATAAATAAATAATTTAATTATTTAATTTAATTATTTATTTAAAAAAACAATGTTTAATTTAATAATAATTATTAAATTGAAATTCTCGGACAAAAGTATAATATTTTGCGGAGGATCGGCAAGATTGCTCGGTTTAAACAATATCCTTTGCTCAAAAAAATAAAATAAAATAAAATAAAAAATCACGTAAAGCTTTGTTAAAAGATGTCAGGCACATTGCAGCAATTAAATCAGTTTACATTATTATGATTTTAAACTAATTTAATAATTTAATAATTTTAAAATTGTTAATTTTATATATTTATTCTACCAAATTTTAACTATTTTAAAAACCTTTCAATTAAATTATACTTTTCAACTCTCTCTCTTTTTTTTTTTTTTTTAAAAACTAATCATCTTGGTTATATTTAAATAACTAAATTAAAAAATTTACTCTTAAAAATAAAATAAATAAAATAAAAAACTATTGTTAACCAAAGC